ACAGTTGCAGCTATTCTAGAAAATAATCTGGTTGTACCTAGTAAAACCATGCAAAAAACCCTTTGCCCGATATTCCAGGGTAAATATCATAACTTAGTTCAGGTCCACAAGGGGTCACATACTAGGATGTTCTTTGTGGCAGCGAGGAGCATACCCAACACTACAGGAATAAATAAGTAAAAAGTAACAAATATATAATATGAATTACTATGCAAATGTTAGAAGCAATGAATAGCATTAAGGCAGTGTGCACAGAGGAACATGATAGATCTAAAAAACGGTGCTGAGTAGAAAAAAATGACACTTTTATAGCATAATAGCATTAATGTAAATTTCAAACACACAACACTGACTTATTTGATAAAGGATATATATATACTTAAGGATACATACCACACATACCTGTGTGCATGGCTTTGGGGGAAAATAGGAATTGGGAATGATGGGGGAGAGAACAAACCAAGAAATGAGTGTCGGACTAAACAATTTTGATAATGTACAATGAGTTGAGGTCCAAAAATATAAACACAAATTTTAAAAACCAAGAGCTATACCCTTCCTGGCCTCTATCTTAATAGAAGGCAGAGTCCTAACAGCTGCAAATATCCAGTCTGAGAGACTCTGGAGCTGCAGTTCCCAGTCCAGGATCAGAGAGGAGGGCTGGGAGCACTGCTGTTGGGGACTCTGTCCACATACTGGGAGGCAGGACATAGGGGTTGAAGTGACAGTTCTGTCTCACATGAGCAGCTGGCTCTCAGGCAGGCAATTCAACTTCCTGATTGATTTAATCACTAATAACTGCCATGTTGACTGTTTACATACATTAGATTCTTTCAAGTGATCCTCACAAAAACTTGAAAGGCTGGAATGATTTCAGTTTTACAGATAACTGAACTGAGCCTGAGGGAAGTATAATCACCTTTTCAGGTTTTCCTAACTAAAAGAGCTGACATCCATACGAAGGTCTAATTCCAACACCTACACTTGTCCCAATAATCAAAAGAGCGGATGCTTCCACTATTCTTTCTAGAAGAATATGTGAGGAATTACCGTGCAAACGCCTTTAAGAAAGCTGACCAGGAGAGGGACTCATTCCCCTGTCACTAAAGTACCCTCTCCTCATGGCTTCAAGGAATCTGGTTTTCTCCACCATACAATCTAGTGTCTCTCTGTCTTGAGCTTTGTGAATAAAGTAGAAAATCTTAGTAGGGTACAGCAAATTAAAATGCTAAGTAGGAACTAGAAACCAATGCAAAATCATGTTCTAGAAAGGAAACATTTTTCCAGCTGTCTCTAAAACGGGTGCAATCATAATGGCAGCAATTTTGCCCACAATTCATGTGCAGTACTAGCATCCAAATACAGTAACTACTAAAAGGGTACAGGACTCTGGAAGATTTACTTATATATCACACAAAGCTTTGCATTGTGTTTGCTCAGGGAGAGATGTCTGAAATACATTTAAAAAAGAAAGCAAGCCTTCTGTAGGAGGAAGAGAACAAGTGGAATTATAATGCATCTGAAGATGTTTAGCCACACTTCCTTGTGACTTATTTACATGAAGTGAGGCAATTTTAAATTATCATTGATTTTCAAATGGTCACTTTTTAAACTTAAGTTATTGAAACAATGTTTTACAAATCCTGGTACAACTTCAAGTTTTATAAAGGGTGACTAATGTATACTTATTAAAGTGAGCTCTAAAGTGAGCCATCTTTTTCTTCTTGAGCAACAAGAATGATAGAAAACAGAAAACAGAGTATATAAGGAAAACGCTATCTCACTTCAGACTCTTTCTTAGGCTCCCAAGACTAGCTAGCAAGACCTTTTAACGAGAAAAATTATTTCCTTTCTTAAAAGGGAAACTTCTATTTCTGATTTCATATCCTCTTTGGAATATATATGCTTGTTTTCTCCCTCCCTAAATTCCTTGGAAGGTAGCTAACTTCATGACTTTGGGCAGGAAACATTGAGGATGCATCTGGAACATTCTATTATTGCCAGAACATAAGGATGCTTGCAAAGATGTCACAGCAGTGCTGAAGGGAGCAAGGAGCTAGCTTAAAGTGGCCCCAGTGGCTAAGTTCTGACAATTGGAGCATCAAAAATATATACACTATAGTTAATTAAAATGTGTTAAAATTGTAAAAGGTCATGAATTTATGAGACTAAAAATAAAAATGTTAAAATGCAATACACAAATACGTAAGAATAATAAAATATGAGAATGAATTTAGTAAGTACAAAGTGTAAATATATGTATTTACATATATGGACTACGTATACACACACATATATGGATTTCCTTCTCACAGGGTATGTAAGGCACATATGTGTGTATATATGTGTGTCAGTATATGCAGTGTGGATAGATAGGTCTCTTATCTCTCCCAGGTCCTTAATCAAAAGTCAACTTCCAAAGAGGCCTTCCCTGGCCATACAATCTAAAATATCAAACTGGTCCCCTATGTCTTCCTTCATCTTTTTCTCCTTAGAATTTACTCTCTCACATTTAAATATTTTACTGATATATACATTTTTATTTTCTGTCTTCCTCATTAGAAATTAGCTCCACGAAGGCAGGGATTTTGTCTGCTTAGTTCACTACTGTATCTCCAATGCCTGGATTAGAACAAAGCCTGGCAGCCAGTAGGTACTCTATACACAATTTTTAAAAATACACACACAAATACAAACCTCCTGCTTAATCAAGAGTAAATAAAAGAAACTTTAAATATGATAAGCAAAAACTGCATAAACTGTAACAAGGCAGACATTCAGCATAATACCAGGTTAAAATGGAATCCAACAGTTCATCACCATTGATCAGATCCAATAACGAAGTGGAAAAGGTTTCACCAGTGTGTTCTAAATAAATTAGTCCGTGTCCTAAAAGGAATTAACTGAACAGACTCAAACTCTCATCTCTTTGGACAGGAAATCTCTAGATAGTCCTAGTAACTAAAAGATACTAATAAGGCATGTTTTTAATAATGCTAAAATATCAAGTCAATATATCACAATAAGCCAATGGGTTGTATAGTTGCAGGTAAACAAAATTTAGTACCTCATTGTGAGGAGAAACACCAGACTGTAAAGTACAAACACACATGCTAAAGGCATGAATGTAAAAGATTTTATCAACATTACAAGCGAAGTTTAACTGTAAAAACAGACAATCAATCAGTGGCTTGGGTTTATGTCACCTTGGAAGAAGAAATCAGGTGTCATACTTAGATCGAGAATCAGTTAGTGAATAACTCAGACTCTTCACTGGTCTGAGTTATTATTCTTTTTCCTTTAGGCCTGGTGAGTTTCCAGTAACCTTGGGGAGGTTTCCAAAATAAGTTATTACTCAACCCTTAGAAAGTATAAAATAAGTATCCCTATACAGCCAGGAGATAGAAGAAAGAATAAAGAAATGATGATATGAATTTAGCTTATGATAATAACATACTGTAGATTAGATATGTTTGGCAGTGTCTTATAATTGTTATATTTGCTTCTGTTCAAGGTTTGAAGTATTCAATCACACTAAATCTGTAGTTTAAGTTGTGTAAAGGGAATTTGTCTTAATATTTAAGAAAATTAATTTTCAGGTTTTCATTAGCTCTAAGTATAAATTGACTATTAAAGAAATTATGAAAGTAGTAGTCATTGTTTTGTTCTATGCACATATATAAATCCTATACCCTTTCCTAATTCGTTTGTTCTCTTTTTATAGATGCTCTCCAGACAATGCCCAAGATTCTAACTGGTTCTAGATGTTCAAGGTGTCTACATTTCCATATCACCAAAGTTTACCTCCCTACATCCACTCAGATAAAATAGGAAAATACTGCCCCATATCCTCATGTTCCTCATTACTCTGAAGAATGGTAATGATTTATTCCCTAAAAATGTTAGGCTCCAACTGCTTTACTTTTACTACTAGTTGAAAATGGCTAGGGGCCGGCCCGGTGGCATAGTGGTTAAATTCTCATGCTCCACTTCAGCGGCCCAGGGTTCACAGGTTCGGATCCCGGGCATTGACCTACGCACTGCTTATCAAGCTATGCTGTGGCAGGCGTCCCACATGTTAAAAAAAGATAGAGGAAGATGGGCACAGATGTTGGCTCAGGGCCAATCTTCCTTACCCCCCAGAAAAAAGAAAATGGCTCATCCTTTCTGTCTGCCAGCCATGTCTTTGTCTGATATATTTAATTCTAAAGAAGTTATCAGTAAACTTCTTAAACCAAGTTTACAATCTACTCCCAAAAGAAGACCTCATTTACAATTCTTGTTATATTCTATTGTACAATATGTTTAAACCCATACTGAAAGCAGAAAATCAAATAATTCCTTTAAGATGAAGAGCCATTCATTAAACCGAGGGATCCATTATTCTCAGCTTGGCATTCTTTCTTTAAAGACCTGTGGTGAGTCACTGCCACAAATGATTTTAACTCCTAACAGGAAAGCATGCTAAGGAGTTTTACTAGGTGAATTTTTAAAAATTCATCCTTATTGTGAAAGACTAATAAATACTAAATTAATTTTTATCAACAAATAAAATAACAATTCTCTCAGCTTTACCAGGGCTGTGTATTCAACTTTCATATACTTGTTATATCATAAGCTTTCTCCTCAGGATAAATAATTATGCCATACAAAAGATTAAGGCTTTCTCACAAGTATAGCAAACATAGGGTGAATGAGTCAGGACTCTAATTCCAAGAGACAAAAATCCAGTTCAATTAACTTAAGCAAAAAAAGGAAATTTATTGGATCATGAAAATGAAAAAGTAAAGGATGGTGTAGACTTCAAGCATGACTGGATATGGGAGATAAAACAATGTCAGCAGATTTCTGTCTCTCATCTCCATTCTCCTCTGTGTTGGATTGATCTTGGGAAGGCTTTCCTCATGTGGTAGCAAAAACGCTACTGGTGAGTTTTTAACCTTACTAAATCCTCGAAACCTGCAATTCCGAAAAAAAAAGATCTTCTCTTACGACCCATAACAATACCTTCATAGGGCTCTACTGGTCCAGATAGAGCCATTTGCCAATCTCTTATTAATCATTAGGAGGAAAATAATTGGCCAGCTTATGACCAATCCACTGCTCTCCCTGATTAATAGTTTCATTAGCAACATATTCATTGAGGGTGGGGTAAGTCTCAAATGGGGTATAGAACAGATCAAAAAGAACAGAGGTCTACTACCCAGGCTATTTCAAATAAGGGATGATCATGAACTGAAGGCTTTTCCGTATGTACTACATTCACAGAATTACTACCAAAGAATTCGCTGATATTTATTTAATAAGGACTGAGTGGTGACTGAATGTTTTCTTTTTTATACTTGTTATAATCAGAGAGTTTCTCTATTATGAATTTTCTGATGTCGTCTAAGGGCTGAGGCACAGCTAAAATTATTCCCACATTCATTACAGTTATAGGGTTTTTCTCCAGCATGAATTCTCTGGTGTAGCCTAAGGGACAAAATCTGATGGAAAGCCTTCCCACATTCATTACATTCATAGGGTTTCTCTCCAGTATGAACTCTCTGATGTTGATTAAGGTATGAGCCACAACTGAAGGCCTTCCCACATTTACTGCATTCATACGGTTTCTCTCCTGCATGACTTCTCTTATGATGAATTAGAACAAGCGCATCACTGAAGGCTTTCCCACATTTACTGCATTCAAAAGGTCTTTCTCCAGTATGAATTCTATGATGTCGATTAAGTTGTGAGTCAGTCCTAAAAAACTTCCCACATTTGATGCACTCATAGGGCTTTTCTCCGGTATGAATTCTCTGATGTTGATTAAGGTGTGAGCGATAACCAAAGGTCTTCCCACATTCATTACATTTAAAGGGTTTCTCTCCTGTATGAATTCTTTGATGCAGAGTAAGGGCTATGCGTCTGCTGAAGGCTTTTCCACACTGATTACATTCGTAGGGTTTCTCTCCAGTGTGGATTCTCTGATGTTGATTAAGGTGTGCACTCTGTCTGAAGGCTTTATTACATTCTTTACATTCATACGGTTTCTCCCCTGTGTGGATTCTCTGATGTTCAACAAGGAAGGCATAACGGCTAAAGGCCTTCCCACATTCATTGCATGCAAAGGGTTTTTCTCCAGTGTGGATTCTCTGATGTTGAGCCAGGTGTGCACTCTGTCTGAAGGCTTTGTTACATTCCTTACATTCATACGGCTTCTCTCCAATATGAGATCTCTGATGTTCACTGAGAAAGAAGTCATGGCTAAAGGCTTTTCCACAGTCGTTGCATGCATATGGTTTCTCTCTCCTGTTAATTCTCTGAGGTTGAGTAAAGAATGAGTAACAGCTAAAGGCATCACCACATTCATTGTATCCATGGGGTAATTTTCCAAAATGAGTTGTTTGATGTTGAGTAAGTAATGAGTGGAAACTTAAGAGATTTGAATAATCATTACTTTCAAAAGATTTCTCCCCAGGAGGAATTCCTATATCTTTAGTAAGGTATGTATTCTGGTTAAATTCCTCACATTTGTTACCTATCAAAGATTCCTTCTCAGCATGTAGTCTTTTCGGTTCAATTAGGACTGAATTTGGGGGGAAAATTTTATCATAAATATCAAATTTATGTACTTGCTCTACTGTGGGAACTCTTTGTTGTGTTAGAAGTACTGACTTCAAGAGAATGCTTCTCTCAGAATTATTATATTCCTTGTCTCTTTTCACAGCAGAGATTTCCTGAAGAGTTGTCACTTGCCTGAAATGCCTCTCCTGATTTCCCTGATGTCGCTCAAATTCACCCTCATATTTCCAAGCTTCCCTGACATTGGAGCATTTGAGGTCATGACTTGTCAGTCTTTCCATTGCCATCTGCTTGGATATTTCCTCTTCATCAATGTACCATTTTGGAGATAATTCCTTGATTTCATACCAAGACTCCCAGTCTGAAAAATACCAAGAAAGCAATGTCTCCTTTTTGCCTTTGCAAGGAGAAAGAAAAAGGTTATAGAAGAAACTGAAAAATTTAGTTGGGGGAAGGAGGGAAAAAAGCACATGGTATGATATCTCTCAAATTGCAATATGAACAAAATACAAAGAAAGCACAAAGAATGAAGAGAGCTGATACAGGAAGGTACATGTGTTGGTGACGGGGAGGTGGTGATGGGGAAACAGGTAAAATGTAGGGCATCAAGATGCAGATAAAGCTAAATGCCAAGAAGATAAGGAATTGAGAACAACCGATTAGATCATGATCACAGTTTCCCTGCCTCTAGTCTTTAAGGTTTCCAGCCCATCCTGCACTGGCATTCATAAGACGAAAAGCTGCATGAGGGCAGGGATTACTGTTTACTTCTTATTCTTTTTACTGCTGCATCCAGTGCCTAGGACAATGGCAGCATTTTACTGAGTGAATGAATGTTGAGAGAATCCTCAACAACTTCTAAGATTTTGTCAGGGACCAGAGAAAAATTATTGGATTTTTTTCTCAGTCTCTAGAAGAAATCTGGAGGTCAGCTTTAGTCATCATTGAGAGAAAAATACTGCTTATAGAATAGATACCTGATCTTTTTAGGAGAGGCTATTGGTTGAGGTAAGGTGGAAAGGAAAATATTTTTTAAAAGATGATCTAAAAAAAAGGAAAATGAAAACATCCTTTTCATGTCACACCACAATAGTCAGCCAGTAGAGTCACTATACAGAACCTACTGCCCAGCACCCTGTGGTAGAGGGAAAAACCATCTGAGATACAGGTCCATCTCACTTTTTTAAACTCTAAGGAGAGAGACAAAACGTGTGCACACAAAAATTCAATATGGCAGATAATGAAGGACTAGTTAATAAAACACAGATTATTAGTAGTATAAGTGGCAGAAAAACAGAAATCAAAACTCACTAGCTTAGTTGAGGAATAATTCCTGGAGAATATGAGCTTGATGTTCAAGACTACGATCAGGCTTCCAAAATACAGTGATTATTTCAGTAACAGAGTCATTTTGATGTTTTTATGTGCTTAGGGATTATTTTAGAACTGCACGTGTTAGCATTTTTCAGTTAATTAGAAACAGTTTTTTCCATAACATTTTCCCATCTGTTGAAAGAAAAGCTGCCCCCAGGGTAGGTGAGCACAAAATTGAAAAGCAAAAAGTATATTGTGCATCTTTCTTCTTTCCAATACACCCTCCACTTGAGGAAAGCCCCTATCCTACCAGTCCCTCCTATGCACCGCCATGGATTTTTTCTTACTTGGGCCCCTATCTCAACCCAGGCCTGAGAGGGCTTTGTTCACTTATCCTGTTAGATCCACACTGTTGTCCATTCTTTCCACAGAAGTACAACTGCTTCACTTCCCTCACCCACTCTTCTAGAAATCTCCTTTCCTGTATCCATCACTCAGGGCCACTATATTCCCTCTTACCAAGAATAAATGTTTTCTCTATACCAGGCAGATGGCAGCTTTATACAATACCTAATGTAATGCTGAGTAAAAGAAGAATGATGGGAGAAGACCATGGACATTTTCCAACATGAGAGATTCTGAGGAGCCTGGAGATCCAAACACTCTCTTTAAAACAAAACAAAAGGATATTCTGGACTTAGGCAGATGAATACTATAGGGGAAGGAACTTTACATGGGGTACTCCAGGGGAAAGTGTAGAGCAGGAAATAAGTATTGTATGTGTGGAAGACATATTCACTATGATTGGAGTAGAGAAATACTCAGAAGTCAATGGTATTATGATGGCATTCAGCAAGAGAGAAGACAATTCACCCATAGTAGTAACTGAATGAGGGGAAAAATAAAGTTATGCATTCAGGCAAAGTGGAAGAGAGCCAATGGGCATCCATGGGGCACAACATCCATGCGAAACAACACAGCGTTTGGAGTCAACAGTGAGTTTGAATCCTACCTCTGTACACAGCTACCCAGTTATGCTACCTTTAACAAACTGATTATGCTACCTCTTGAGCCTCAGTTTCTTAGTAGGCAAAATGAGGTGACCTCACAAGTATGGTATAAGAATAAGGGATAATATAATTATAACATACCTAGTAGTGTCTGGCCCATTATAGATATTCAGTGATACTTATCATAAAATGAAACAAGTTATTCTTTTTTGTGTGTGTGAGGAGATCAGCCCTGTGCTAACATCTGCCAATCCTCCTCTTTTTTTGCTGAGGAAGACTGGCCCTGGGCTAACATCCACGCCCATCTTCCTCCACTTTATATGGGACGCCGCTACAGCATGGCTTGCCAAGCAGTGCATCGGTGCGCACCTGGGATCCGAACTGGCGAAAACCCCAGGCCGCCACAGCGGAGCGCGCGCACTTAACCGCTGGCGCCACTGGGCAAGCCCCGAAACAAGTTATTCTTACACTAAGTTATTCTTACACCTATACCACTAGTAGGCTCAGATATTATTACATTTATGTCCAAACAGGGATTACGAAATAGGCTGATGGTCAAGTGGCAAGACAAAGAATGGCATTTCCAATTGATTATAATATGTTGTAACTTGTAATATGTAATTTATGTAATTTCCAACTGATTATAATCTATAAATGGATGGAACTTAGAAGTCAAAGTATGATCAACTGTGGAATCCGATCAGAATTACATAGTAAGTAGGCTGATGTATAATGTTGGAAGAAGAAAAGACCTAGTCTTCCACATGCTGAACTGGTGAGCAATAGACAAACTTGATATACTGATGAAGTAAATCGTCTCCTGGCATGAAACCCAGGAGATTCTAGCAGGAAATCTGGAAAAAAAGACAGGACCTATGGGTAAATCTTAATCAGAAGGAGGGAGTTTACTGTTAATGCCCAGAATTCATGTTCCAATGAATAACCTGACCAATGACCCACAGACTTACAGATTGGATCTCCTTCTTTAAAAGACTATATAGAGCCATGCTGTTCAATATGGCAGCCATTAACCACATATGGCAATTTAAACTAATTAAAATACGAAATCTTTAAATTCAGTTTCTCAATCACACCTAGCCATATTTCAAGTGCTCAACAGCCAAATGTGGCTAGTGGCTACTGTATTGGAAAACACAAATACACATCATTTCCATCCTCACAGAATGTTCTATTAGACAGCACTGAATAGAGCTCTAAATATGACAAAGATCTTATGGTTGAATGAGGAAAAGACAGAAAAATAGGGAAAGGAGCCAGTTAAAGAAGAGAGAAACAGAACAGAGCTTTAGACAGAGAAAAAAAATAGGGGTCAGAACTATCTTATACATCTCAGTAAGCTGAGGAATATGAAAACGAAGAAAGATATCTGGATTTAGTCAAACTAGAGGGGCAGAAGGCAGACTGCAAGTAGTAAGATAATGGAAGAGAATTTGAAGTAAAGGCAATAAATGGAGATTGCAATTGGCATATAAGTAACTGGAAGAGAGAAGGGAGTATGGTGTACAGGAAGACAAAAAAGGTCCTATATAATGTTATGAAATTATTTTAAAGAAGATTTAAATAAACAAAAATATAATCTATAACTGCACCAAATTAAAAAAATATATGCATTCTTGTTTACCCCAAGTTAATTTATATCACGTCAATTTCAATCAGAATTCCATGAGGATTTTATTTCTGAACTTATAAAATTATTTTAAAGGATACAAGAAAGAAAATGATCAATAATATAAAAGAAAATTCTGAAGAAAAAAAGAAGTTTCTAGGATCAATCATATGACCTAAGCCTTGCATTTTATACCTTCCTTCCATTAAAATCCCTATGAAAGGACTCCACCAGGGTGATTTGTAAAATTCTCTATCATTATGGGGAAATGTCAAGAGAAGCACACTTGAAACATAAAAAACCTATGGGAGGCAGAAGAGAACACAGCAAAGAGAGGCATGAACCTCTCTATCCTAACCATACCCGGCTGAAGGGAATCTCACAGTAAAAACACATGGAAGGATTTCCATATCGATTGGATCTCTGTGGGGGCTACAGCTGAGGACCAGCATTAGGGGTGCTCTGTAACATTTTTCCTTTTTTCTTTTAAATAGAAATAATATTTATTAGAAAATACTCAAGTAATTAAAAAATGTATAAAGTATACTCTCTCAAGATATCATCCCAAAGACCACTACTGTTTGTGGTTGGGTCTATATCCTTTTAGAATTTTTCCTGTACAGATAAACGCAAATAACTTTTATATACATACTATTTACAATTTGCTTAAAAAAATTTTTTTAACTTAACTTTTTCCATGTCAGTACAAATAAAGCTACCTCATTCACAGAATGGAGGAACCATAATTTAGGTAATCAAGCATCTTAATAGATTTTTGCACTCATATCCCAAGAGCTGAATCACTTGCTTGCCAAAATTCAGTTTTGTTCTCAATCTATTTAGTTCAGTTGTACTAGGTATTTATAATTACATCCTTTAATTTAGCATTTAATTAATTAAATGAGTGCTAAAAGGGAGTTGTTGTTTTAATGAAAACTAAGTTTTAGAAAAACAGGCTAAAAGTGAGTTACTTAAAAGCCTGTTTTTGAAGTAAGTGTGGAAGAGAATTGTAAAAGCCTGTTGAAAACTTAAAACTTGACAAGGATTCCATACTCACATGGTTTGCAAATGTTTTGCTTCACTTTAACAGACATCAACAATGGAAACTGTGGATAGTGCATTATGAGTGTGGTTGATGTAAGAAAGACAATGCTTAACTCCAATCTACAGATCATATTCAAATAAAAGGCATTGGTGCAATATCAAAAAAAACTAATGAATGTTCACTTTTATGTTATAAAGTTAAAATAAAATGTCTCACATGTGTGTGTATACAGTAGTCCCTCCTTACCCGAGATTTCACTTTCCAAAATATTAAATGGAAAATTCCAGAAATAAAAAATTCCTGAGATTTAAATTAGACGTCATTCTGAGTAGTGTAATGAAATCTTGCGCTGTCCTGCTCTGTCC